TGCATGATTAGAGAATAATGGACTAATGGAATAACATAACAGACTAATAGAATGATGAAAACATGAAATAGTAAGGTACTTTCCTTTGCCAAGACAGACGTGTGTACTGCGTTGCATGGGCGAATGGCTGGCACTTTGTGCGCATGGTAAAAAATCGCAAAGAAGCGTCCCTTACTAGTTGCCCAGCTGGCCTGCAACGCTGGAGCGGTGTTTTGCTGGCTCGTGCTCCCCCTTCTGCAAGCCTGCCTCAAATTGATACCCTGGTTTGTTTGTTTGGGTGAGAGCAGTTTTACAGGAGGCAAAGCTCCGAAATGGGCAGGTGTCTACCTTGGGGCACAGCCTAGCTTGGAACGGCGGCAGCGCCACATGCGAACGTGCGAAGAAAGCATGACAGCCCACTGCACCAGGAACCCTATTATGGCCCTCTATGCCAAGGCTTCACTTGCATGGAGGCACCAACACAGGTAAAGACGACAGCGTCTGCACTGCTGGCTCCTTGAGACCTCAGGTTGTTGTTTGAAAGGCAGCTCCAATATTGGAATCATTGCTTGATCTAGTTCCTCACATCCCTCCTGGCAGTCCCGACAAGGAAACTTCCGCTCCGCCCATAGCCCAAGGCCCAAAGATTTGGTGCAAATCGCTAGGCACGTGGCTGTTCTTGCGGTTTCGCACGAGCAGCAAGCCCTGCAACACACACACGCACACACACACACACACACACACACAGAGACCAACACGAGCACATGATACTGTCCATCCTGCCAGCCCCGACAGCTGAAGACGCTTTTTGAAGACAGTGGTGCTCCAATCCGACAGGGTAGAACGAGGTACAGACAAGAAACCGACTTTGCCGAATGCGGGTCGGTTTGACCCTATTTGACCCTTGCCGCTCACTGAAGCAAACCTGACCGGGCACTGATGGCTTCATATGTTCTAATGCAAGAAGATTGGACTTAAGAATCGAAAGCTTCGGCGATGCAACATGCAAGATTCATGGGCTGCCCAGAAAGCCGAAAGACAACAGCACAGGAAAATATCTTGGTGTCCACTAACGTGGGTTTCTAGCGCACCCACAGTCCTAAACTACAATCAGCAGACAGATGGCAATCACATTGCTGCCAGCTGCTGCCACTCTACGAGCCATTCTGCTCGTTCGATTAATCCCTGCGCCCAGTGGACATGAGGCCTCCGAAGCCGCACCGAGGCCCTCGTCGCGGGACTCTTTCCGAGCCCGGGATTCGCGCCGGATTAGCACGGGCTCGCCGGTCTGCGGAATGGACAGCAGGGTGTTGGGGCGCTCACAGCCGTCTCATGAGATTCAGCTAAATTACACGTTGCACATCGGATGCCCAAAGTCCCGACAAGATCCAAAAAGTTGCGATACCCGTGCAACATCCAGTGGGGTGAGAGACAGGAGAATTTTGGGAAGCTTGTCTACGAGCTAAGAGTGAGCAGAAGGGCCCTGCGTCAAAAATGTGCAATTAAGCTTTGCCCAGTAGTAGTTTGCCAGTGCTGAGTAGCACTGAGTTGAATCACGGTGGCCTTCGGGTTAACTGGGGATGTTCTGTGGCTCTCAGGCTTGCAGGTTGGAGGGATGGGTTGAGGTTTTGGGATGTTGTGGGGTGCGGGGTGCGTGTTGAGTTTGGTCGTTCTCTGGCAAACAAGACGGAATGACGGGCAGAGGGTTTTCGCAGCAGGGAGGTGTCCACTGTAAGGAAGCAACAGGTTGAAGCGAGTGAGAGCGTGCCTCCGCCTTCGCTGATGGTGTCTCTTGCACCTCCTCCGACGACTGGGAGCCCGAGCCTCCCGAGGAGTGGTCGCTGGTCTCGGCCTGAGCTGAGGCTGTATCACGTATCATTGTATCATGTTTGATGCTGTTTGGGTTGGTGCATGTTTGGGATGTCTCGGGCGTCATCGGCCGCTTAGGGCTTGTGTCCCTAAGCTGTTGAGAAGGCTGATCGGCTTCATGACTTCATGATGAAAAGGGTGAGCAGAGACTAGTCTGTTGCACGTCGCCACCACAACTAGCGCTGCACCTCGGTCCACACTAGCCGAAGGCCAACCATTGTGAGCGGGTGCGCGCGCGCGTGCGTGCGTACGTGCGCGGGCGTGCGGGCGTGTGCTTGTGCCTGCGTGCGTGTGCGTGCATGTGGTGTGCGTACGTGTGCAAACGATCTCCATAATTATTGGGGCCAAGCCCCCACAAGAACTCTGAGCCACAATCCCCGCACGTCGCTCAGAGTCTCAGGCCTTTGGGGCATCCTCTTCAAAGGATTTCCGGTGCTGCGCCAAGTGTCTCCTCGGGCAGCCCCGCAGATCTATAACTCCAGCCTAGTGGCCCTAGCGCATTCCAAACTTGATCCATAGTCCATGAACCCACTGAACCCAAACCTTGAGTCCCCCAACTTCGTGCATCAACTGAGTGCTCTCCGAAGGCCAAGGCTCCGCAGCAGCTCTGCAAGTCGTTTTCGCTCCTGCTTCTCCTCATTCAACAAGCTTTGGGCTTTCCGGGGTACAGGCCTCGCAATCACGACTCGCGACAGGAGTCTTCAGGGTCTTCAAAGCTAGCTGTATCTTGGTGGCCTCGCTCAGCAAAAGCCTTGCTAGTCCAATTCAAATGGACTGCAGTTGAAGCATGTTTGATTGATGCTCGCAAAACCCGCCCCTTGAAGATCCTCTTTGCGACTGGCAGATGCACCATCCTCGCGCACAGATATGCGTTCTGCTACCACGACTACTAGGACTACTACGAGTACTGCGACTACGACGACTACGACGACTGCGACGACTACCACCTGCTACTGCTAAGCTATTAATGCCACTACTATACTTGTACAACAACTACGATGATCAGGACGACGCCAAATTCATCCTACTCCTTCTCACTCCTACTGCGATACCACCACTGCTACTGCTACTTTACTAGCGCAGCTACTGTTCATGCTCTTGCTCCCGCTACAACAGCGACGATCGACTGGCCCGCAGGTCCGCAAAAAATCGATGACGATGACGACGAGGACGAGGACGTCACATGGCTGTGGCAACTGATGCTTGGTAGTGTCATGAGAATGTGCGAAAGTAACTCAGTTGTGCAGCTGCCCATGCTCCGCAATCAGAAGACCTGGTCGACAGGCTGACTCGGCTGATGCCCCGAGCGCTGCGACATCATGGCGCGGAAGCTCGAGATGTCGTCCGAGGCCTCAAAGAGAGGTCAGCTTTCTTGTTAAGGTGGTGGAAGTAAAGATTGCAGACGCCGAGTCGAAATTATCTCCCTTGATGGTCCACTTCCTCGGACCTTCCCCAAGGCAAGCCTGAAGCCCAAAGCTGTAGAACCTAAACACAGACTAGAAATCTATGAGGAGAAAACAAACAGGAAAGAAGAAAGGCAAAAGAAGCTCACCTGCCCAGCACGCGATGCTCTCGGGCGCATCGCCTCCGCCGCTGCCGTGGCGGCCTGGTTTACCCAGCCGAGCAGTCCCTCTCCCAATTCCCCGGTAGACATCGCGCAACTTCTGATGCCAGGCCTTCTGCTGGCGCAGGGTGAGCAGATCATCCGCCTTACGACAAATTGCTGGGAGCACGGATCTGCACGCTTGTGGCCAGGCCAGGCACTCAAAGAAATGGTCGCATGCCCCCACTCCCAAGATGTCCCAACCTTGAAGCTCGCAAAGTGCGGGGCGCATGTTGAAGCAGTGGCTGGGGATTGTCAAAAGACTGAAACCGAAAGCCCGAGTTCAGGACTCAGCCGGGCAATGCCTGCCAGCCCCAAGGCAACGGCAACCGAGGGACATCCACTCGTCTTCTTCGCTTCTTCGTCATTGCCGCATCTTGGTTGCGACCGGAGGGCTCTGGATACGGCGTTTGAGTGGCTTTTGCCCTTCCTCTGCCGGCTGTGTTCAATGACAGTGCCGTAAGCGTGGCCCCGTATGGAAGCATGGCACGCACGTGCCCTACTCACGATTGACACTCAACTAGCTAAATGGCTTGACGGCCTTGCAGTCACGGCCCTGACTTTTGCTGAGCCACTCTCCAGCACCTTCGCCAGACCGTGGATGTCCTCCAGAAGGGCCTTGACCTGTTGTGGGTCAGGCAAAGGGAGCAAGCTCTGCGCGACGATTCTGGGCCGAGCCGTGCCAGCAAAACAAGCGCAGCGCTGCCGCACTCTCTACAAGGTCCAAGTGACATTGGAATGAAGTATCAGCGCATGCGGCACTTGGAATGGTAGCTTGCAGACAGGCGCAAACGGAGCGAGATGAGGACAGGGGAGGGTGATGGCACAACGTGGAAAAACATCACTGGGCCCAGGTTTGGGGACGCCCTCAAGGCGGTACAAGCCCACTCGGACGGCCTTGAAGCGAAAGGCCTCTCGCTCGGCCTCCCTGTCGTCCTGCACAGATGTGTCTGCAACAACGGGGCCTTGAGTTTGCAAGGAATTATAACACCGTTCCATGCCGTTCCTGTAGCTTGGGCAAGTAAAGGTTGCCTTGCTTCAGTGGAGCAGCTGTTAAACACGGGCAGGAACTTTTCAACCTGTCCGTCGAGGACTCTGACTCTCGCGCAGTTCTTTCCTACGTGGTACATGTAGCTTTCCGACGTGTAGGACAGTTCTTAGGTTGAGTTTTTGTGATTGAAACTGCCATGTGGGACCCCAAAGACCTTCAGATGCTGAACCTCAGGGCGCAACACGTAGACACTCCACGGCAGAAGCCCAGGACAACTCAGCGAACGTGAAGTCCTCCAGCTGCTGCATCCGCCGATGCCAGAAGGTGAGCAACTTTGCAATCCTGAGGTGCGCCAGGCATGGTTTCAAGACCTTCCTGCCCCAAGGAGCTTGACACACCAGGAAAACATGCGGATGCCAAGGGAGATGAGCAAGCCAAGCACGATTGCCGAACAAGACACATCGCTTCCCTGTCTTTCAGCTTCCTCCCTTCCTGGCCAGCCTGCGTGAACTTGTGTCTTTGGTCCCCAAGCAGAGCATCGATCCAAGGCGCTCGGCTTCAGCTCGGCGCAGAACAGACTTTATGACGAAATGCATGCCGCATTGCATTTGCAACGTGCTGCGTTTGACAAGCGCATCTAGTTCCAGGTCCTGCATACAAAAGAGACCCCCATCGCGCGGTCGGAAAACTCGCGCCCTTTCGACCTTTTTCCTTGGAGAACCGGAAGGAAGCAGGGGCCTCTGCTTCCAGCTCCTGCGGGCTCTTTTGCATGTGCACCTCCCAGGCATGGCTCAGCTGAAAAAGGGGGGAAGGCGGGAAGGGGGGGGGGGTTCGGCAAAACTTCTCAAGGGCGATTCTAGGCACCGCAAAGTTCGACGGGGATGTTTGGCACAGGGACTGTCGAAGTTTGAAGTGCTCCCACAAGCCACGCACGACATCCCCCCACCCCCAAGCGCCTTGTACTTCTGCAGCGCGTCGCCGCTGAGGAACTTTAGCAAAAGCTTCTGTTTCAGCGCCAGGGCTCGTTTGCACTGCTTCCTCATGTCGCTGACTGAACCCTGAGACCCACTCAATCTTTGGTGGACTTCGTGCAAGTCTTCCAAGTTAGAGAACCAGAGATGCCCGTCTTGCCAAAGAAGCATCCCATCCCAAGCCCCGAGCACCTGGAAATTCGGCTGTCCACCCACAAGTCCCTGCGCTAAAAGACCAGAGCCAAAAGTTGAAATAAAGCGAATCCGCAACGAGCCGAAAAGGCAAAGGCTCTCAGAACCAGTCCCGAATGCAAGAAGCCAAAATTCATCAATGCGGGGGCTGATATCACTATGCCCTGCTGCTGCATCAAGGTACATCATCCGCCGCAGTGCAAAAAGGTACTTCTTGTGGCGGCTGGTGTCATGCAGACGGTGAGGCTTGATACCTTTGTTGCCAGGGTGGGCAAAGACAAAGAAACGGTGGTTCCAACATACGCTGGAGTAGAGGCGTTCGTCCATGGTCTTCAGCCAATCGTGGTTTCGGAGGTTACCACTACGTGTGGAAAGTCTTGGCTGTTTATGGATCGCGCGCTTCGAAAAAAACCTTGAGACCAAGAACTGGGCCTCAACCGGACAACTTCCACCAAAGTGATCATGTATCCCAAAAGGCAAGCCTTGATCCCACCCACAACTTCAGCCGAGGTACGGTTTGCCTTGCAGAAGTCCCACTTCCTGAGGTTTCTGGATGCACTTGTGTCTAGGAGAGCCTAGGAGGTATGAGGCTCAGGGCTTAGCACACGATGGGCTTGAGGGTTGTGGATCCATCCCCACACGGAGAAGCCAAGCGAGGCTTGACAGCAGCTCACACCTGAAATCAGCCACACAGGTACCACCGTAAGGATGCGATAGTTTCAAGCGCTGGTACAAGTACCTGCAACCCGAAAACCGGAACAGGCACCGCGATCCGGCTGAATTTCGCACGGCCAACACACAGGGCACGAGATGATTGAACGCTTGCGGTTCCTGAGGGCTTCTGGGTCCAGAGCCACATGTCAGCTCGAAAGTGCACCTACGCAAGATGCAATGGTTCGTCGCAGGCTGTGGGAATTTATGTCGCACAGGGCTCCGAATAGGAGCCCATGCAGGTGCCACATCATGATAGGCTTTTGCCCGACAGGTGAGGCTGTAAAGAACAAGGTCAAAGGCAGCACAGCCCTCGGAACAGGCAAGGGCACCGACATGCGGTGTCCACAACAAGCCAGGAAGGTCTCAGGCGAGCAATGTTCCGAGACGCGGCCTCGAAAAGCCTGTCGGCCCCGCTGCCATGTACGAACCGCACCGACCCTAAGATCACTGGCATAGCGATCAGGGGGTCCCAGGGTGGCGGGCCACGCCCGCCCATCCCTGGCGCCAAGTTTTGTCGCTAATGTGGGCTCTGCATTTTCGTGCAATGTGCCGTCACTTGCATCATTGAGGGCCAATTCGGTCAAGCCCTCGTCATCAAGCGATACCGAGGATTGAAATACAAAGATGGGGCTTGGGGAATCGAAGTGCAATCTTTAATGCAAAGCCGTATACTCAGGATGTGGATACGCACAGATGGGATTCGATTCGACATGTTTTGTCTGCTGGCATCTTTGTACCCCAGCCCCTTTTGTGGTGCTCATCAGACCGCCCTTGCAAGCGATGCCGTTGTGCAAACTCCTAAAGCTCCGCTACAGGCCCAGAAGAGCTCATGCGAAGGAGTCGCTCACAAGCCCATGTAACCCTTGGTCGGATTGACCACTGAGCCCTGAACCTTTTTGCCGCTGGGCTCGCAGCGATAGCCTCAACCCTGACCTCAAATCCTCACTCTGGCAGCCCAGCGTCTTCTTCCCCAGCTCGGGGTCATCGGTGGGAAAGGCCAGCATCCATGGATCCAACCGCATTGGCTGTGGGGCCTCCGGTCAGGCTGATGTAGAGGCCGAAAGTTTTTGAGGGATAGTTATGGCATCTGTGGATCGCAGCCACTCAATATCTTGTGCACACGTGAACACGTACTGTGCGCTCTGCCTTTAACCTAAGCTTCCATCGCCAGGATTTGCCTCGCTGGCTTCGGAATCGTCGCTCAGAGCGTCTTCATCCTCCCCTGTTCCGTCGGCTGTGCCTGTCTGCAGGGTACCTGCCCGGTTGAGGAAGTACGTTCCAAGGCACGCAGCAGTGACACTGGGAGCATGCGGAGCACATATTGTGTTAGTTAAAAGCCCTTGATACGGCGAGTGTAGGGGTGGTGATTGCCGGAGTCGTTGAGGCAGCAGCAGCCAAAGTTCCTTTATTTGTAGCCAGCGGCAGCACAGATAGGACATAAACGGAGCAGAAGTACCAAGCTGCCGAAGAATTGACGAAGTATGCCGTGTCCGGCGCACTCGCCCGAGACTTCGCGCCCGGCCCTCCGGGTTTGAACTTTGCCTTTGCCGAGGCGCCTGCAGCTGGCCGAGAATTCTCCAGTGCGAATCGCCCATATTCCTTCTGCTCTGCAACTGAATGTTCTCTGAAACCGGCGCAGCGAGGACCACAGACAAACCCTTCACCTGCAGGCGATGGTCCCCGACTGGCGGCCTCGCAAGGCAAGATGTTGACCCACAGATGGGTCAGGCCTAAACCTGATTGCCGGATCCTGGACCTGAGTCTGCTCTAACTTTGCTAGGAGGATTGGAGGTCACAGTCCAGGCGCTCTGGTAACTCCTCAGCCCGCCTGCCGTGGAAACCAAGAAAGAATGGGACCATACTGTGAAAAGCCAGCAATCCTCCCAACACACAGGTTCTGTAACTGTGAATTATTATCCAGCATATCCAGCCTGTGCCTGTGCTGCCGCCTTTCGCTCCGCAATGCCTGCTGGCTGCCACAAGAGAACCCAGTGTGTTCCACAAAGGAGGAGCATACCACCGCATATCACTACACACATATAATACTATTATCTCTCGCAAATGGGCTAGCGTGGAAGCCCAGCGGTCGGTGCAATTACCCGAAACCTTGTTTTCTGCTTTTGTCTTTGCCGCTTCACGTTCAAGGAGAGAAAGTACGCGTGTCGGGGGTTGCCCCCACTTGCCCCCGGTTTGCCTGCCTCCCCCCCTTGCCCCCCACCCGCACTACAATTTTGGGTCCCGTCAAGTTGTGTCGGCACCTGAGAGGCCAAATCTCTACGCAGTGGGGCCGGAAGAGCGGGGGGGGGGGGGGGAGTGAGGGCAAGTGGAGCCGCCCCCTTGCCAGCACGTAAACCCTATCGCTTTTCTTCCTTGTCGTTTTGCAATGAACCGTTCATTTCAGTCCCGCCCTTTCTCAAAGTTCCACAGAGGCATTTTTACCAAGCCCAAATTGGGAACATCTCGAAACCATTGTAATCTAGAGTGCTGTTATCTGTTGCTTCGGGCTCGGCACCGCACTTCACGTCGGTCAGTCGAAGCGTCCGGGACGAGTGTCAATGAGATTGGGTTGTAGGTCATTGTAGGTTTCGTCTTCAGGCACAATACGAACCGGATCAGACGGGATCAAATCGTGAGAGCCGGATCTCTCAATTTCCTGCTTGTGAAAACAGTCCCTGCTACCTTTGTCTTCTATACATGTGCATTCTGAGCTCCATGCAGCTGTCACCTCACTCAGGCTGCGGCCTTCTTCTGCTTTCTTCATTACTTCCAAAGCTTCCGGAGGAAGCTCCGCCTGCAGCAGCACAGGGCATGGACTTGCGCATCGGGCCCTCCGAAGCTGAAAAAGGCACTTCGAAACAATTCACCCTCGATGCCAAAGTGGAACTCCTGTAGTTGAAATCGCCACCCTCACTCTTGACCAAGCCACAAGTCGCAAAGTCTTTAGAATCAAAAAACCCAAAAAGGCAAGGAGCCAGCTTCTGCTGTAGCTCTTCAATCTGCTTGATCAAGGACTCAGCCGGCGAAGTTTTGTGCAACCGCAGGATCACATGCCACCTCTCACACGGACCTAGCTCCTGCATGGCCACGCGTTGCGATTTTACCGAAACCACAAGGGAAGCATGGAGCAGGATCTCACTCGTCGAAGCATGGCGTCCATGCCCCATACCGACACGAAACCCCCCCTTTCAGGTAGACGAAGTAAGCGTCAGCTATCTAGAGGCAAGCCTAGAAAAGACTCTCTCCGGAAGGTTCTGAAACGCTTCTTTCTTGCAACCGTCATGTTCGCAAACTTTCAAGATCCAGCTTCCTGATCTGGTAACATCGACGCAGATCATAAACATGCAGACGCCGAAGACACCAAAGCCACAAGAACCCGGCATCCCGCCGCTCGTGGCCCGATGCGATCTCGACGCGGTGATGCTGCAAGATCCGCTCCAGCGGGCTGACTGGCCACAGGGGGTGACAGGATCGCTTCTTGCACGGGAACAGACTTTCTTGGGGCCGGGAATTACGCAAGGAGCTCCTCGGACTCAGAAACGCAGACAATGCTTGAGGTCCCCATGTTCTGCTGTTTGCAATGGTCCGAAGCGTTGCCTTTGGCTTCAACTTGTCTGAGGCTAGTCGGAGCTGTCAGTAGTGTGCCAACCGCTCGGCTCAAAGAGCAGCTTTAGCTGTGCTGTACCCCTCGCTTGGCAGCACCGGGCTAAACAGGCTCCGGGGGAAGTTTGACCGTAGTTTGCCTACTGTGCAAGGGGCATGCCCGTCCTGTGTTCATTTGCGACTTGGACTTCTGCCTCGGCTGTGGCAGAGACTCGCGGGGGTCACACCCCACGCCAGAGCACTACAGATCAACGTGCAGGCGCAGTTCCGACAACTTTCTTGAATTGATCGGCCAAGGTTGCAATCTACTTGTTGTTCAAGTTTAGCCTGATCAGACTCTCACCCTTCAATAGCCAAACCTCGGGACTACACCCCAAATTGAGTCTAAGAAGAGCGCCAGCCCTACAACCTTGACAGAATCCGAGGCCTTCAAGCTTTGCAGGATTGAGTATTGTTTGTGATCTTGTTCCAATTACTATGCATGTCTACTATGCTAACGATTAACACTGATTTGCCATTATTTCCTCTTTGTGTGCGTTAAGTGTAAATATTTCTTCTTATGACTAGTTAGGTTTTATCATGCCAATGTCTTCTATGCATGATTAAACAGCTCAGCTGCGTATTTCATTTCAAGACGAGCTGTTACTTCAACCCTCTCATCTAGAATCTAGAAAAGCCCTCGGCTCCTGGCGAAAGGGCTGGGGGGGGGGGGGGGGGGGGGGGGGGGGGGTGGGGCAACATTTGTCAGAAGACTAGACTTGCGAGCCCTAGACTTCCGATTCACACTAACCCTATACCCCAAACCCTAAACCCTAGACCCTAAACCCTAATCCCTAAAACCGCAGCCTGGCCCCTGTACACGCACCGCTACGAGGACCCGGCTTCTGCAAAGTGGGCCTCGCCCGCCCCGCGTTGCCTGCGGCAGGGCTGGAGACCTGGCTCGGCGCCAGCTCGTCGTGACAGAGTTTAGGGTTTAGGATTTAGGGTAGTTTGGGGTTTAGGGTTGGGGTTTAGGGTTTAGGGTTGAGGTTTAGGGTTTGGGGTAAGTTCCGAGAGTAGTTTGGATGTCCACCACATGCCCCAATCTAGACGCCACGGCTTCCAAAGTGCAAGAAGTCATGCTCAAAGCTCTGACTTGTATTCAGCAAGGACGAGTCTGGAACCACTGCTCCCTCAAACTCCAGCTCAGGCTTGTCAGATGCTGTGGCACTACGAAATGGGAGGAATCGATCTGACTCATCAGGCTGGGGCCCCACGCCACGCTGGAGGAGCTGGGGACAGCATCGACTGCCAAGGGTGTCCAGGGATCTTTTGTTGAGAAGCGTCCCTAAGAACTCGGGCATAGTTCTTGGTGCAAAAACTTCAAGGACTCACTGATCTCTCCACCGGCAAACTCACTATGCAAGTCATGCTTTGGGTTTGGAGTTGATTTGGGCTTTGGAGGTTCATAGAGAGTCGACAGCCGCAGCTTCTGCAAAGGCAGCAAGAATAACACTGCTTAGAGCCGCTCTTTAGCTTGCGCACCTGATTCTATTAGCATGGGGGACGCACCATGTTTTCCACACACCTGCACAGCACGTGAAGCACCTGACCATGCAAGTTTTGCATGCAGGACAGTGCTATGCCTGCAGGCATCCTCTACGGACACAGTTGTGCAGCCTAGGCTGCGGCTGTGCGCGCGCCGGCAACCTCCTCATTCCTTCCTAGCTCCATAGGTTCCTCCTTCCGTGTGAGCGAGCTGGCAGCCGCATACCCACAGCCTAGCCCAGCAATGAACAGCGCAAAGACTTTGAACTGGCTGAGTTTGTAACCCCTGCGATGTGGGAAGAAAGAATGGTGCGGCACGTTGGGGAACACCATCTTCGGAAGTTCTTCTTCAGCCTTCACTTCTTCTTCGGCCCCCTCCCCGTGCTGGTCTGAACACGCACAGGTCGTACAGGGAGAGTCATTACCTTCTCCCCAGCCATTGGGAGGTGGTAGTCCCCCTGGAGGGGCCAAGTCCTCTTCCCGGAAGAAGGAGACGAAATCGCTGCTGCGCCTGGGCCGGGGGTGCACGGTGTCGATGGTCAGGAAGGATGCAAACTGCTGGCTATGGTGGCATCTTCCACCTGGGATGCCTTCCCACCCACCCACGGCGTCCAGCGACTCCAGCCCGGAGTGGGCAAAGCGCATGGCGTCGCAGCAAATGAGCAGACAGGTTGCTACTAGGAATCCTTCGATGACCTGAGCTGACGTACTTTGACCTGCATGTCTGGTGACATGGTGCTGTGACGCTGACTCTTTAGATGCTGCTGTCTTGACAATTTGAACTGCTGGGGGGTACACATGGAGCCGGCGAGCCGATCCAGCTGATCTGGCACCCCAACCATAGTGCCACAAGTGCTTACATCGCGCAGTCAAGTTCAAAAAAATATGGGGGTTTCCGACATGAGGGGTACCCAATTGGGAATTTATCATAAAAGGAATCCGAAACCCCAATATTCCTACGGCCTGACTTATATAACTACCGCGCCTGCCATCTCGCTCTCTGGCAGCTGCGACCACAGCATCTGGCCAGCTAACAGGGAGAGGATGCTGCACGGAGCGTGCTCCACATCTGCTTTAAGTATGTGGGCAGTGTGCACTGGAGGTGGCACCTTTAGCAGGGACTCACCCACAAAAACTTCGAAAGTCGTTGAATCTCCTTGCTGACCGCAATGCGACATCTCCAACAAGCCTGCTGCCACCTATTGCCACTTGCCGAGGTCATTCCACTCAACCCTCCGCATATATCTTGTCCGGACAGCTAGGACTCTTCGAGGTCGGTCCGAGCAAAAGGCAGACGGCAAAAGTCAGCCTCAATGCCGATCATGATCTGCCTCGGCTTGTTGCCATGTTGCTTGCTGTCTTTGGGAAGCCCTTACTGCTAGCAATCAGTACCTTCGTGTCGGTCTTTTACATGTTTTTCTCAAGCTCTTATCCTCTTTCCCTCAGCTCTTGCTCCGCTCTACTAACGCTACCCTTCCTCTGAAGGGGGGTTGGGGGGGCTCCTTCTCGAAGACCTGTCAATATTTGCTACGGCCAAAGAGCTTGCGAAACCCTGCGATTCCTCAAGCCCAAAAGTGGAAAGTGCGCCCGCCTGAAAAGTTAGAAAGTGCAACGAGGAAAGCGGAAACTATAGAGCATGGCTTTTCCAGCAGTTTGGTCGGTGGAGCGGCATTCTGTTGTTAATGCGGGTAGTTTGATTGATTGAAGTGAAATACAGATGGCTTGTATTGCAAGAGTCGTACGCGTTGAAATAGAGGCGGTTTGGTAGCTATTGACAACCGACGCACCGAACAAAGACAAATAGTGTGATCAAGTGCTATCTCTTTAGTTTTGTTATGGGGCTAGTTATTTTCCTGAAATTACAAGAACGGCGGCTTGTAACGAAAGAAACGATGTCATGTACAAAGCAAAAAACACTTGTACATTTGTAGTCCTAACTCTAAGATTTAGAGACGCAAGAATGGTTTAGTAGTATGCGCAATTCTTATCATATCATCCACCTCCAAATATGTTCGTCACAACAGATACGCTATGCGCCGATTCTAGGAAAGCATGACTTGTGAAAGCTGGAGAGTTATGGGAAACCAGCCACGCATGCCACGCATGCTGCCTTGTATACTCGCACGTATTATGCTAAAATGTCAGGTCACTCCCCCGATGGTCTGTCGGGGGCGGGGGGGGGGTACCACATGTGAAAACCTTTGTATGAATGGATGTTAATGCTCGGCGCCGGAAATCAGCCTCCGGCCCTTCAGTATTGGGACGGTGCGGCTGCGGTGGGTGTAGGATGCCCAGCCCATGGAATGGGCTCGTTCTCCCCCGGCTGAGGCTCTGCTCCCGGCTTTGGCATGTCAGGCCTTTCCGGCCTTTCCCTGGTGCAGTGCGAGTAGTCCTTTCGACGTCTCTTCCTTCTTCACGCCGCTCCACGTCTTCGCGACCCTCCTCGTTTTCACGCTCTGTATCCTCCAATGCTGGATCCGGCCTCTCTCTGTCTCTCTCGCCCTCTTTGTGCTGCCGCCAGTCCACATGCAGGCCTTCCAATTACTCAATACATCGTCTATGAACTCGAGGCACCCGCACCTTCCTCCCGCCTCCGCCCTCTCTAGGTTTGTGTGTAGCCTTGCAGTCAAGCCACTTCTTGCGCATTGCTTGGTCCTTTCAAGGCTGGTTGTAAAGGTGTCAGCGTTCAGTCAGGTGCCCCTGCGACTTCAGCTACCGTAGCTTCGTGGCCCCCGCAGTTCAAGAACTGACAACTCAAAACAGCTGTCACGCAGGCAGGAGATGGGCACTTGATATTTGGCTTGCTACTCTGGGCCTCTAGACAATAACTGCCCGAGTCCTGCATCTCCTTCTCAAGCTTCATCTCTTGCTTCTTGGCATTCACGGCGTTCTGCTTCTGAGCCTTCCTGTTCTTTCTAGGGCTCAAAGCTGGGATCCCTTCCACAAAGCAACGCAGCTTTTAAAGATGGTTAGCATGCTTAGGCCCCACACTAGGGCAGGGCGGGAACCTGCCCCTTATTTAAACCGAACACCTCCTACCTGATGAGAACTGAAATGACCCCAAGGGTTCCGGGCGGCCATCAGGGGCTTTAAGGCAAGGCGCTTGCTCAGTTTCTCCTTCGGTTTCTCATCTTCAGCCTCTTCCTGCTTCTTCCTGCGCCATGATCCCACATCCCATGGAGTGCGGCACGCTGCACTCGATGCAAATTTCATCTGAGGGCACCACCCTGAAAACCAACCCCTGGTCACCCTCAAGCTGTCACATGGGTCCTTGCTGCTCCACGAATCTCTGCCTGCCTGGCCACTCTCATGACTCTGATCCGTACCAAGGCCGGTCTCAAAACTGAATACCTCAAGCCTAGATTGAGGCCAAAGTTGGTTGATGCCGTGTGCAGGTTGGCTGAAACATGCGGTAAGGGCGAACAGGTCGAAGGAAGCCCAATGAATCCCAGAATGCTCCACCGAAAGCACACTTAGGCAGTCGCTTCTGCATCCAGACTCTGTCAGCAATGGTCTTGGGAAGGCCATCCACCTGCCGGACACGCGGGTGATCTCTTCGTGTCGCTGTCCATTTGGTTCACAGAGCTTGGCTTCTTGGGGCTCATCCCACCAGCCTCCCACCAGGAAACACACAGCGCAAGCACTTCCTTTGAATCCGTTTGATCCCTTTTCACTGCGTAGGACTTGGAAACGGGACTTGCAAGCTCCACACCTAAGCAGACGTGGTACAGCCGAACCTCTATCCAAGCAGGCCACGGCTGGCTAAGCCAGCTAAGCCCTGAAGGAGAACGACAGCACTCCCTAGCGCCCCAAAAATTCGGGAGAGGCGTGCCAGTCCAAGAGCTACTCTATCAGCAGCACTTTCACGTCCCAACTGCCCATCAGCCTTGAAGGCGTCTCCGACCTGCTCCTGAAAAGCACAGAAGCGACATAGAACTCAGCATCACGGAGACCTTCAGCCCTGAAAGTGCAAAAACTACATGTTCATTAAGTCAAATCCTAAACTCCCGGACCCCAGACGTCCGAATCCCCAACTCGCCCGTCCATGTCAAGGAGGAGGTCACGGCACAAGGCCATCCACTCATTCACCTGAACCTCGCGGATCGGGCACGCGCACTCGTGGAGCGTCTGGGGTTTAGGAATGTTCAGGGTTCTACATGAGAGAAGGGGGCCCGGGCATCACGGCATGGGAAGATCTTAGGGTCGTGCGACCAGATTGAGGGGCCTGGGCAAATCTGTGTTTTCGGGAGCCTTCCGGTGTGCACAGCTGGAAGCCCAAAGTTCAACAACCACCCACGAAATGCACACAGGCATGCACACAGGCGCTCACCACCACCATCACTTGGGATGTCCCCCCTTATACTGACAGTCCTTAGTAGGGATTATGATAGGAGGTACTATAATCCCTATTAAGCAGCTCACACTCCGTTTTCGCCCTGCACGAAGGTCCACTGGCGTGCATTCCGGAATGATTAGGGCATCCGAAGACACCCCCCTGGGTAGTACCATCCAGGTCATCGGGTGCTGCCAAAGAATATATATACATACCCCAAAGCGGGCGGGTCGGGAGGGCACTGAAGATCTTGATCCATGCAAGGGTTTGGGCTTCACTTCAAGCTTCGCTGCTAGAATCAGCAGCTCACACTCCGTTTTCGCCCTGCACCTTGGTCGAGGAGAAGGTCCACTGGCGTGCATTCCGGAATGATTAGGGCATCCGAAGACACCCCCCTGGGTAGTACCATCCAGGTCATCGGGTGCTGCCAAAGAATATATATACATACCCCATGTCTTCCCAACACCACCAGCCAGTAGCTACTTTGAAGAATGCAAGAAGAGCGCATACCACGAAGAAGGTGGCAACCCGAGCCGTCGCCAAGTCAGAGCCTGATCCAGAGTACTGCTGAAGGCCTGCGCAAAGCCATACACAAGCTCGCGGGTACGAAGATCAAGGCTCGGGAAAAAAGTCGAGCTTGCCACTTCTTGGAGGTAAATCTCCATCACTTTCGGCGAGGCCCAACGGCCTCTTCTTCTTACACGTTCTGAGTCTTCGCAGCACTGCAGCATGTGCGTGGCACCGCCAGGACGAAACGATCCAAGGTCCAGAGGCCGAGCACCAGATGAGCTTCGCCTGATGTCAAGGCGTTCCAAGATCGCATCAAAGCGCCTACGAAGCGTTTGGTTTGTGAAAGGCCATAAGCGCTGCTCCGGGTCGTAAAACTCGAAGGCCAACTGTATGACATCTATCAAATCACTTCGCTCGATCTTTGCCGCCTGGTGGCGTGCACCACGAAGTCTCGTCTTGGGCTCCAATATCTGTAAGAGAATGAAGCTTTGTACGTGTAAAACATCGACTGGCAAGATCAACTGTTTGCGTCTGGCGGACGTGGCTTCGCCTATTCTTAACAAACCTCCCCAACTCATTGCAAAGAGGCCTGCTTCTGCGACCCAGCCCCACATCAAGCAAACTGTAAGCATCGCCAGAAGGATGACTGGCGGCATCGGCACGTGGTGAGTGTACGGCTCCATTGCAAGCCAGCTGAAAGCAGTGTCCCAAGCAGCCTGAAGTTGCCGGCGGACAGAAGGCTTGAGGGCTGAGATTGCATTGACAGTCTCAGAGTAATGCCAGTATGGCTTCCCAAGATCGTAGAGTTCACGACCGTAGCTCACAAGGGCATTATTCAATTGCTCAATGTCAAAACCAGCGCCAAAAAGAAAATCCTGAAGCTGAATGCCACGTTCGCGCAGCCAAGAAGAGAATGCCAGAATGAGTGCGTCACGATTCTGTCTGGTCCTGTCCAAAACTGGCCTTCCAAGCGGCAGGGGTCGGGATGCTCTGCGCTCCTGCCGGCCGACGTCGAGGCCAGTCTGTCGTGCTGTCGGTCCTTCCCCGGGAAAACCCAGAGTGCCATCGAAATCCAAGACATGATTGGTGGAGCATCCAGACGGGATGCTCTCAGCAACTGCAGGACCAACCTGTCTCTGACAAGTTGAGAGGGCTTTTAGGAAACTAACAACCGAACCCTTAGAACCCGAAACTAGAGCAGCCAACCGAATCCAGTTTGCAATGGGCTTGGAAAGCTTGAGGAAAAGGGACAATGTGCGCAGCTCTAGGGGGGTTAAACCTCGGGCTAGGGAGTGAGGGACAGGATCAGGCAGTTCAAGGTCTCTCGTGGGCGCGTCAGCCGTGTTCAGACGCGTCGGTCCGAAATGGAGTCCTGGATAGATTCCTCCAGCGACCTGAATGGCGGCGGAAGCTTTCAAAGCCGGCTTCAGCGTTCTGGCTGAGCTCCTTCCCTTTGACACAGCACCCAGCGCTACTGCTGAGTCGACAATGTGCGCATATCTAAGGTCCCCACCTGCGAGGGTGAGGTCACGGGGAACCCTAGTGAAAGCCCTCGTCTCAAGGACATTTATGTGCTCGGGGCGCTTCCAGGCCCAGGCAGCTTTCGTTTTCCAAGCAAAAGCAGAAAGGACATCGTTTGCCAGCAGACCTTCCAGTCCAGTCCGGGATCTGGCATGGCCCGGCTTGGAGTTGATAGCCTCATGGAAAACGGAAGCAAAAGCCTTGGCTACCTCGGGGTGGTACGCAGTACTGCTCTTAGCAAAGGAACCCTCGACGCGAACATGGTGATGGTCTCTGGGGCAGCGCCTGTGGATTCTGGAGAGGTTTAGGCCGGTACCCAGGAGAGCGAACTCCTTACGGAAAGGAGAGCCATATGCGCACGAGGCGAGGAAGTTCTCCTCCACTCCAGTGAGGCTCAGAGCATATTGCCACGCCTTAGTCCGTCTCATCTTTGAAGTCCTGGGCTGTTCGACCAAGGCGGGTGCCCCGGCCCTCCAGGCAACAACGAAGATGACAATTGCAAAGAAAGCTTGCCGGTTCCCACGCCAGGTCCTCGGGAAAGTTCTATCAAAACCTTCAGGCACAGCATAGGTCCTCAGGCAAGGGCGTGCTGGCCCGGAGAAGGTAGTGCAAGGCGGCTCGATCATGACAGCTTTGAGTCTGCCAGACTGCAAAAGGAACAGGATCCACTCCAGCACGTGAGTTTGTTCGATGTCGAACTCGGGCGAACATGAGAGGTCAACAATCGGGCCGATGACATGGCCTAAGGCAGCAAGCTGATGTGAAACCCCACCCGCCCCCCCGCATATCTCCAGAAAGTCAAAGTACTGGGCAAGGGGTTTGGGCACAGTAAGTCCACGCTTAGGGTCTGACTGAGGGGAATCCTGGGGGACAAAAGCCTCTGAGTCACGCTCTAAACCCAAAGCAGCAAGGGCAGCACCCTCAGGCCGATCAAGCATGGTATAGAAACCCTTTGCGTCCGAGGACAGCCAGAGAGCCCTGGAGACATCAGGCCCTACATCTGCCGAAGTGTAGCCTCCCTTTGCCAAAGAGGCGTCAGAGGCATAGGCCTGTTCGCAGAAGGGAACGGCAACATTGCTGACCATCAAAGGGGCCAAAGCCGAGAGCAGAACAAGCTCTTGGCGCTGCCTAGGCTTGAGGGGAACTAGCGAAGACCCACTAGAAGCAGGGAGCCTAAGTGAAATCCCAAAGATTGAATCAAGTACTGACATTAGGCAACGCCTGTAGAGCAGGCACGAGATCCAAGAACCTGTCAGCATGCCACAGAGCTCCTCGGTGATAGCCCGGCCGGCTGCAACTTTCAAGGACACGAGCGCAAGCGCAAGGCGTTTTGTTGCCGGACAACCAACGGATGTGAGTCCATCGGCGACAGATGCAGGAGAGGAATCAACCTGCGCCCCAGCGACAGTAAACACAGTTTGACCGAAAATATCCTTGGCGTCTGATCCAGCGATGCCAGCTTTGCCATACTCAAGCTTAGCCTGCCTTAGAAGCTTCTCTCCCTCGTCAGGAGGGGGCTCGGGCCCAGCGGGCACAGCAACAGGTGTGGATGCGATGGCAAAGAGATCGTCGATAACGAGCCCCAGCCAGGGCCCATCAGGGGCAACGGGGCTGCCAGAGACCAGGCGGCCTCGTTCCGATGTAGGGAGCACTCCGGCCGCTTCCAGGAAACCGGCGTGGGCAGCAGTGGCGTATTCCACGCCTGCAGCATCGCCTTGGAACAAAGATGCAAAGCAGCCGTGGACTGGAGTATCTGGATCTACAAGGATAGGCCTAGGCCTGCATGAAGGATGGTTTCCAGCGGACCTGTTTTGGCCTTCGGCCCATGCCAAGAAGTCGGCATGCGCAGCAAGCCCCTCGAAATCTCTCAAAGCAAAAGCTGGGCCCACAGCGTTCGCGAAAGCCTTGCTGCGAGTCACGCAGGCCTGATGGTAGAAATCTCTCCTATCGACTGCGGAACCGCGAAGACAATGGGTGTATCGCTGGACAGAAACCTTGGTGATGAGGGGACCAGTAGGGAGTTCCTTGCTGGGGCCGCCAATCTTGGCCTCGTAGGAGTTAGGACCCCGCCGATCACCAATCTGCCTGTCTTGTCCAGGCGATTTCCAGGCACCAAACACACGCGTCAGACGGTCATCTGGGAGGGGGCCCGGCCTCAGAAGAAGTAGGGACTTGGCATCCCAAACTTTAAAGAGACGCAGGGCCTGTTCAGGATCCTCTTTGTAGAAAGTGGGATGGGGGCCATTCGTGCCGCTGAAGGCGAGAACGGACGGCTCGCGGTACGCCATCGCGAGTTCAGGCTCCAGGAAAGGCGCAAGGTCCCAAGCCCCCGTGCCATGAATCACAATCCTCTTGGCATCGAGCGGACGGAAGGGCCTTAGAGACTCAGGCCCTCCCACGTCATGAGGCACAAAGGGTGGAGGGTTAGGGGAGGCATTAGGGTACCCAGAAAGGCCTAAACCTGAACTATTAAGAAAGCTAGCGAGCTCAGCAAAGCGAGCGACCAGATGGGTCCCTCGCCTGCCCGCGCAGAAGGGGACATTGCCCGAAAGGCGGGCACACGCTCTAATCAGCACGCGCAACCTTGCAAACACTTGTTGGTGCACAAAAGAAGGCGGCCTCCGGAGACAATGCAAAGGAATGTGCTTTTCGCCAGCATGCAGAAAGTTCAAAGCCATGACGGCCACGTGGAGAACCTTAGCCAAAGCAAGACTCGAAGCACGTCGTCCTCTGCAGGCCCGGGCACTGCCACCAACAGGGAAAGCGTCTGGCAGCGGCAGGGGAAACAAAGCGGTGGAGATGGAAAGGTCATCATCTCTTTCAAGGCGCAGGGTCTTGGCGATAAAAGAAGCGAAGCTAGTACCTGACTTCAGAATTAGCCGGGGCAGCGCATGGCCCCAAGATGTGAAAGAGAATTCGCCGTCGTAGGGCAGGGGAAAAACCCTCGGGCCAGCATGCATTGGAGAGCCCCCCCCTGTGCGGTGGCTGGAGCCACTGGAGGAGCCCCCCGCGACAGGAGGAAATTTCACTTGTCGCCGGCCTTGGCGGCTGCCGCGGCCTTCTTGGCAGCCCAGGCGGCTGCTCGCTGCGCCTTCTTCGTTCCGGCTGCATCGCCGGGGCCTGCAGGAGCTGTTGGTGGAGCTGGACTGGGGAGCTGAGGGCTCTTTGATGGATTGGGATTCTTGGACCTGAGCTCCGCTCGCCTTGTCGTGATAGTGTCGACCTCTTTCAAATAGGAGATCGCGGTCGTCAGCCATTTTTGTTCGGCCAGCGGAGTGAAGGCATGCCCCCCTTGGCCAGGAAGATTCGGCGCATCCTGAAAAAGGCTCTGCGGCGGGTCGCTTTGAAGCGACAAAAGCCACGCGATCGTCGTATTGCCGGAATCCAAGTTGACCTGATCTAAATAGACCAGCAGAAGGGAGAGTATGTCGCGGGCTCCATCTACCGATCCCTTGTTTAGCAAGTCGAAAGCCTGACTGACTTGCCACACCACCAGCGCAAGCTCTTTGTTCCTCGCGAAACCGCCAAACCTCTCGTAGTACCTGCACATGCCTGTCTGGTCTGGAGGAAGAAGCCCCGTCGGATTCATGCGCTTCATGGCCTGCTCCTGGACCTTTTGCGCAAACGTCCCCGAGTGTGTGGCGAGCTCGCTCTGAAGCCTCTGGCGGTTGACAGAACCCCTCACGGATGTGCTGGAAGCTGGCATGTCCAGGATGGGGTCCCCTCCTTGGGACAGCTGAGCGACAAGAGACATCAAGGCCTGAGACTGGGCAAGCACTGCGGCTGCAAGGTCGGCGGAGGGCTTTGCGACGGGCATCTCGCCTTCGATAATGCCATTGGCCAGCTGGGCATCGAGATCCACCTGGGTTGGGGCTGCCGGCGGCTGCCTTCGTGCGTTCGGCGGAGGGCCAAGGAGATGGGCAAGGGACTTGGGAGCGCCCTGGTAGGGCGGCATCAAGGAAGATAGTGGCGCGGCCAGGTCCACAGCATTCTTGCCTGGGGGGACGCCAGTCGTGGCTGGTCTTGGCTGTTCCACGCCGCCGGAGCCCTGCTTTGCCTCCTGGCGAATCGCCGCAATTTCCTGGACGAGCTTTGACATGACGTCCATCATGGACGACTGCTGGGAAGCAAGCTGGGCAAGTGTCAACCTCTTGGGCTTCGCGCCTTGAGCCTTCTTGGGGGGCTGCTTCGGCGGCACATCCTCCTCGGAAACAGCTGTTTGGTAGCCAGAAGCTGCCCCACCGACTGAAAGTATCCAGGTCTGAGCTTGGCCCAAAACATCCGAAGCAAGAGGGAACACTGAAGGGTCCTCCCCGAAACCCTGTCCACTGAAGGAGTCCGAGTCCAATGCCCCCAACGCTAGCGCATAACTTGCCGGGAGGTCCACAAGCATGGCCCTGATGGGTGAAGGGTCCGCAACGGCAGTCCATTCTCCGGTGGCTGACAGAGCTATGGGCGATGCAGAAATGGTGGTTCTAAGCCCCGGAAGGTCCGGATCGTCGCCAGCACTCTCAGGCGGGCCCAGCTCAGACTCGTCAAGGAAGCCTTCGGGCAGGCACAGTAAGAAACCCCCCGGCCTCAGAAGCACTACGTACGAGGCGGCCGAACGGACCTCCTCGTCTCCCAGAAGGGGCCAGCTGAACTCCAGAAGTTCAACAGTGCCCCCTGATGCCGCTGTAAGGGATTCAAATTCCATGGCCAACTCCGCTGGCGCGAAGGACACAGTTGCAAGAGGTACTCTGACACCTGAAAAGGAGGACTGACAGACAAAAGGTGATGGGCGGCTGAGGATCGATGGGGGATGACACTCGAGCTCGATGGGCGAGCCTGCTCTGCAATGGTCTCTGCGTTGGATTCAGGTGACCTACGGGTACCCGAAAAGGGACTATCAGAAACCCCAACAGAACCACGACCCGCTAGGGCAACCAGGGGAGGGCAACCTAGGGAACCCACTAGAGGTCTCTGGGCAGATGCAAGCGGCTGAACGCTGACCAGAACAGGCCAGGCTTGCAGCCGAAGAGGCTGCCGCAGATGGCTCAGAGGTGTGTGCAAGGTGAAAACCGTTGACCGCACCACCCTCTACAACTAACCTGATTCCCTCAGTCGCCAGAGTCAGCCGCCTGGGGTGACTGCAAATAACCAGCGAGCCTTCTCCTGGCGAGCCCTGTCGAAGGGCCAGGCGCAGGGATCTCCCTTCGGCCCGGGCGCTCAATGGTGGTGATATCAATCAGAAAAGATCGCAAGGGCCCCGAATACAACAGCAGTAGAATCAATGCCAAAGAAAATAAGGTGACCAATATCCCTGCAAGAAAGGCTGCCAACAAGCTTCCCAAGCCTGGGCCCTGACAATGCGGAGGGCAGAGGAGACCCCACCAACGGGTTTCGCTGCCGGTCCGCAAAAGATCCAGTGTAGTCAAAAGCCACGCGGGGGCCATTCAAACCCTTAAACTACACTGAAGATCTTGATCCATGCAAGGGTTTGGGCTTCACTTCAAGCTTCGCTGCTAGAATCAGGACTGCTAAGTATAAGGGGGAACATCCCAAATCATCAGCAGCAGCAGCCGAGCCTTGATCTGTTCCGATGCGCGGCCCTCTGACAAGCTCTGGATGGAGGCGGCGACGGCTTCGGCCTTACGCTCCTGAGCTCAAGAGAGCTTCGGTTACCACAATGAATGACCTTTTCGAGACTATTTCGAGACATGTCGTGATCCTCAACGTGATCCTCAACCCCACTATCAATTGGGCACACACACACACACTGAGGAACAGAGAGAGAGAGAGAGGGAGGCGCCCTCCCCCTCTGCCTCAATCACCGGTGGCGCTAAATGACTGTTGAAGCGCACATGAGGCGCGTCGGAGCTCCAGGGCTGACACCGGTGAGATCGGAAACACAAATAGTCGAACAGTAGATTTTTAAGTTTGGAGGGTTGCTTTGAGATTCAGCGTTGTGCTTGCCTCCCACTTCTTCAGACAAACCAACTCACCGTCCCACTTCGAAAAACAGTCTAGGGCAAGGACGTTGAAAAAGCTCGTTCACAACCTGGACCAAGTGGTCAAATCTACAGTGGTCAGCCACCAACCTCTACAGCCTCTACAGCCTCGGCCGCTTTTGTGAACTGCCGAACTCTAGGGGCGGGTTTGGACACAAGCCGACTTCCCGGAAGTTAAGGCTTCCTCCTGAGCTCCCTTGAGCCACCCCCGTTAAGCGCCCCGCAAGCCCCCACCTCTCTTTGCACCCTTTTGTTGAATGCCCCCCCTGAGGAGTCTGTTGAGTCCCAGGGTTTAAGACCCTGACTTCAAGGTCCCACAAGCGTGCGTTGCATCTTTGAATCTCGCCAGAGCCCCAGGTTATTTTTCTTAATGTTCCCCGAGCCCGGCAAGCTGACTCAGAGGCCGGGTGACCAGCTTCGTCGCACCAGTCGTGAGCTGCACGAACTCCTCGGATTCTTGGCACTCGATGACTTTTCGGAGCTGTGGCAGCTCGGACACTCAGACAAGCAACGTGAGATTCTCTTTCGACGCATTCTCTATATACATATTTGAAGCGTAGAGTAGAGTATATGTCTGTTTTCCTACGGCGAAATTCAAAATGAAACAAGCAAGCACTCGATCCTTCATGTGCTTGGCTGAAACAGAATGCGCAAGGACGCAGAGGATTCACGCTATTAACGGATTGAAGAGTAACCTTCCGATGAGCCAGCCACATCCGCCACAAGCGTGGCAGCTCCTATTGCCAATCGTCTTTCATTTACCTTCTCTGCGCTCCTGGTCCGCTTGCGCGGAGCTGCTGCTGATTATTGTGGCTTTAGGACCTGCCTTCCTACATTTCGGTTATTCCGCTTCCTTCCCTGGCCCTGTGGCGCTCCGCCTCTCTGAGCCCTCCGAAAAGTGGGTTGGGGAGTGGTCCTCGAAGAAAGCCATTCCAGGAGTTTAGGGCGGGGCCGGAAAAGGCCCGTCGGGGTCCGAGCTCGAAGTCCAGTGACACGTCGCGCCTACGTCGAAAGCAGCTAAGATTCCACAGAGGCCAAGTCCATCGCCCGCTTGCACATCTGCACAGGAGAGGGGGAACCCGACAGCTGAAAGGGCGACAGCTGCGTGCATCACAGCTGAAGAGGAGCTTTCTGTGGCTTTCCGTAAATGGAGTTTCTAGGTGCATAGCTTTCCGAAATACACATCGTTGCAAAGCATGGCCTGCACAAAGGCATGCCAACATATCTTCTAGCTTGAGCAACTTGTGAAGGAGTTGCACCATGCACATCAACCCATCGAATCGACTCCTTCACACCGCATCTTCACAACAAAACACCACGCAAGACCCACTTATGCCATGCACCACCTCCCTGGATAAAGTTGATTTCTCGCCTCCACGGAAGCCTGGATCGGAATGGTCCTCAGCTGCTCGAGGTATACAAAGCACCAGCCCGAACTGACTTCATTTCGGGCAGCTCATGCTTCAAGTCTTTGCATGAGGCGTGGCTCCTCATTCAGGGCTTGGGGCTTCTCAAGGCTGAGATCGGGGTTCGGTTGCAAGTGCCGAACAAGACCAAGGTTTGCTCATGAGGGGTTTTTAAAGTTTATATCCGGATGTGTCTATCTTTTGTTTTGTCCGTGACCGTGGATTGTTGATCCGGACCCCATTTTCGCGCCAAAAACACAACAGAATGTGCTGTTGGGAATGATTTTTGCTGCCTAAATATATATATATATATATATATATGCATAGAGATAGATAAATTTATAGCTCAGTGCACAGTGCATATGCTGATGGCACGCATCCGAACCTTTGAACTGTCCATGCAGGCTGCACAGGTTCCAATGAAGGTAACTCCGCCGCTGCCTCCCGCGTCCTGGGAGGCTTTAGGGAGTCAGGGGGGGTACTTAACTTGGACTGAGCCCTAGGACCATTAGTTTGGACTGAGCCCTAGCACTTTGCCTTTCAGTTGTCTGGGCCTGTGGGTCGGCAAGCAACGCCCAATATTATAAGCTCAAGATCCAAGGCTGCACGAATGTGCAACGCAAACTCCCTTCGCAAAGCTTCATTGCAGGGTTGGGCCACTGTCTTCAAGGCGACTAACTTTGAGACCGTCCTCTCTGCCACCTTGGTCTCCTCTGCCTCCCTCGCGGTCTCCTGAGCCTGCGGCGTGCGGTGGAACGGATGCACGGAAAAGCTCTGTAAGGTGGCACACCTTTTGGGCGCAACTATCTGGCGTCATTCGAAAGGCTCCTGATCTGATGCAAGAGATCAAAAGTTTTGGGGATGAGCCCCAAGAGCAGAAAGATACGGCCTTGACATTCCACCGCGTTTTTCATGCAACGCAACAGTGAGGACGCACCTGCTACGCTGCTACACCCTACCACACCGAAGCGTGCAAGCACCTCTGACCCTGGTCGGCTATATGATTCTGCTACTATTAACAGAATATTCGGATGAACCACAAGCTGGCGAGCCTGGATCTCCTGCTGAAGAGACTCCAGCTCTTCCTGAGAAAACAAGACATTTTGCACATGGCAAATGGCTCTTGCTCGGATGGGGGCTCGGATATGCAGCATGGGCCTTTGGGCATTCCTTCTCCTTAGCCTCTGGGGGTATCTCTAGGGGTCCGATAGACAATGTTGCTCCCATCTGGCTTTGATCAAACGATCCCGCATTCGGACGCGCACTGCCTGAGGTCAGAAGCTGCAAATCTCAGGCCGATAGCCTTATCTGTGGAAATAAGGAATCGGTGCTCCGGGAGGCAAGCCCTCCCTGCCCACCCCCCCCCCCCCACCTGCAGCTCGCGCTCATCGGAGGTGACTCGCCTTTGGCCAGGCTCGGGAAAGGCGCGCATGAGTGCCGTGGTGACTCTCCTGAACCGAAAGCCTTCAAGCCCATACCCCAAGCAGCCCAACACTCTTTAGGCCAAACCAACTTCAAGCTCTACACTCTTTTCGAGACTTGCCAGCCGAGGTGCTGCCGCTCCTGGATGCTCATCCACAGCGCCGCATTCTTGGACTTGAGCGCATCGCGATCCTCGGCTGACGGCCCGTCCGCCCTCTGTTTGCTCAGACCTGAGGCCGCACGTGGTGAGTCTTCATTCTGTACGAAGCATGTGCCATGAATGCATGATCGTGAGGATGAGGGGTTTCGCGCAAGGCTGATTTTGCATGCGACCATGTCAATCCTGGCCGGGAGAATCTTGGCTAACCAAGGTGATGTCAGAGAGCCCCAGTGCCCTTGCGCCCTTTATGGGATCGCAGCAGCCACCGGATTTCGTCCTTCTTGGCGAAGTCCAGTGGCGTGGCACCGGCTGTATTGGTGGCATTTGCATCTGCACCGCTCTGCAGCAAAAGGCCGCTGAGCTCGGCATCCCCAAGCTTCACGGCCAAGTGCAGCGGCGTCTCACCGTCGTAGTCCCGGCTGTTCACGTCGCCCTTCCACACGAGAAGAACTTGCACTACCTCCAGCTCCGCATAGCCCCCAGGCACCACATGCAGTGCACTCTCACCGTCATTGGATCGTGCTGTGGGGTCTGCCCCCCGCTGCAGGAGGCTCTCCACCAGCTCCCCATCTCCCCACCTCGCCGCCTCATGCAGTGGGCACCAGCCATCATTGTCGGCCAAGGTGACGTTGGCACCCCAGCTAAGGATCAGCTCACAAAGCTCCCGGTCCTCGAAACTCAGACATTCCCTGCAATCCGTTGCTTGGTGCTTGGGCACCTCATTTCCTATGTACATGCTGAGTGTGGCATTGCTAAGAGTTACAACACATGCAAGTGCTACGACATGCCGAAGATCTCATGATTAGTAGCCTCAAATACTTAGTAGGAGCTTGGCTTGGAGAAGACAAGCTGCCCCAAAGCGCGCCGCCTTGTGCAAAGGACTCTCCCCATCCGCATCCTGCAAATTGACCTTGGGTTCTTCATATATACCGTAACCGCCAATGGATTCCCAACGAAGTACATTACATCGGATTCCTGCTTCATAATTAAACTTTAATTATTAATTTTATTTTGATATAAAAAAAAACTCCACACCACAACTCAGCGACGTTGGCCTGCTGGAGCAGCAAGATGCTGCAAACCCCCAGGTGGCCATTGGAAGCTGCCAGGTGCAGAGGCGTCCGCTGCTTTGCGCTGCCCACGGCATCTCCCACAGCGCCCCAGTGCAGAAGAAGCTCCACGGAGTTTTGCTGGCCCTCCTGCGAGGCCAGGTGAAGGGCGGTGTGGCCGCTGTCATCCGTAGACGCCGCATCGACGTTGCTTTGCAGCAGTAACTGCAGGCACTCGACGTGACCGTGCTTGGCAGCCAGGTGAGTAGGGGTGCTACCGTCCACATCCCGTTGGCTCAGCATCCCTGCGCCATGCTGTTGCAGGACCTGCTGCAGACAGGCCAAGTCGCCATTCTCCGCTGCATCCTGCACGACTTGGCTGAAGCACCCTTCCTTCAGGGACGTGGAGTCTGCGGTGTCGGTGGCAAGCCTTTGCGTGTATTGCTGGGGGCTGGTCTCCTCAGCAATGTCGGCGTCAAAAAACTGATCTGAAGCTCCATCTGTCTGGGGACCTCCAAGGCCGGAGGAGGCCTCGAACTCATCCAAGTGCCGCTCACGGAGGTGTTTGTGCACGAACTCCGGGCCGCGGAAGAGCTTCAGACCTCAAATCGACCCCCCCCTCCCCCCCCCCAATTCCAGCGAGCAGCTGCAGTGCCAAGCAGACGCAAGCGGGCAATGTAGTACTGTGACTGTGACACTGTATCATAGAATCATAGACAGTGCCAGTGGATCAACATGCATTCCCACATGATGCCACATCATGCCGCCCCTGCCAGAAGGTGCCACGCTGAAGCCGAACGAACAGATTTCTTGACCCAGGCACAGACGAGACAGCGGAACTTGGAGTCGCCAACAGGCCTGGGGGTTGTCGGGCTTCGGTGGGTTTACGTTGCGACTGTCTTGATTGGCTTGCTGCACCATGGGAATACTTGGAGCGGGATTCCCAGCGGTTTGGAATTGACTTCGTCAGACTTGAGGTACAGTAGCGCAGTGAGCGGGGTTCGGCCTACGACTCTCCGCGTCTAAGTAGGCTTTGCAAGGAGCGTACGCCCACGCAGGAACTTAGGAACTTTGGTTCAAGCACGAGCTCCCAATGTGCGCCCAGACGCTGCGTTCGTGTGGCGCAAAACTCCTCGAATGCTCGCTCCTTCCGCTGCTCCTTCGAAAAAAGCTTGAAAGCTTGGATGGATTCTGCCATGGGGGGGAGGCTTTGGTCTTCTGGGAGTTCAGGAGAAGCTCAGGAGACTGACTGAATTTTGAACATCACAAGCCCCTTTTGACCGCACTAACCTGAACTCCAGCACCAGTCGCCTCCGCCAGGCCAGCTTCCTGGGCTGAAGTGCCGCCTGCCAGGGCTACCAAGAAGCTACAGGGGCTGCATTATGGGAAACATGTGTGACCGTCCGTGTTGCCAAGAGGACTAGGATGTGACGAATCCGAGGCGCATCCCTCAACTCCATCTCTCTTCTTGCCATTTCTGCCCTGTCCCCCGGCTGCGATGGTTTGTCGTTTACCTTGTGTGAGGCTGTCCCCATGTCCAACGAAGTTCAGGTCCCAGGTAGTCTTCGGCCGAAGGCTTCAAGTGTCGGACTCGAGAGTGGGGCCTTTCGGCCAGGGATGGTTGAAGGATGCGAACGTCCACTGCAGTTGTTGTTAACGCCACGTCCTGGAGTCCTGGTCGGGTTGCAAGGGGCCGGTCCTCTTAGTCGTGAAGCCGATCCACCTCCCGGAGTGTTGGGCCCCATTTGCAACACCTCGGGGTTTGTCACCACTTCCCTTTCCGACGGTACTATGCCATGCAGTGAGAGAGCGAGAAGATGAGAGAGCGAGATTGGCAGACTGCCCAGGAATCGCTTGGCCAGCGCGGCCGGTGCCCTTCGGAGTCTTCGGGGCATCTAAAGCGTGCAGAGGGGGCCATTTTGGGGGAGACCCCTCCCCCGCGCCCTGGCAACCTCGTTTGATCTCAAAAAGCGCTCCTCCAAACGCAACCCAAAAATGGCAAAGACATCCCCCGCATGACTCCCCTAAACCCTAACCGTTTTGAAACTGGAAACTGCTTCATGCCAAAACCCTAAACCCTAAACCCTAAACCCTAAACCCTAAGCCCTAAGACCCTAGACCCTAAACCCTAAACCCTAAACCCTAAACCCTAAACCCTAAACCCTAAACCCTAAACCCTAAACCCTAAACCCTAAACCCTAAACCCTAAACCCTAAACCCTAAACCCTAAACCCTAAACCCAAACACACAGAAAAACCAATCTTGGAGGCCCAGCACGGCCTCGCAATGCTGCTTCGAGTGCTCTGACTCGCGCCTCCTCTTCGGCCAGGAGCCTCCACAAACTGGGCCCCAAACTGCTGAATTTAGGGTTTGGGGTGTAGGGTTTAGGGTTTAGGGATGCTTCTGCACGGTTCTGTTTCTTGCCCGGCCTGTTTCGCAAGCTGCAAAGTAGGTTTTGGGATCTGGGATGTCGGAGACTGGGAAGACTTTGCACGCTGTGGGCGAGGCTCACTGAAGTCTCCGGACTCTCTTCGACATTCCAATACTTGACACATAAGCTGCAGAATCGTACATGCTCCTCCGGCTAAACTCCGACAGTTGCTCAAGATTTTTGCAACAGCTTGGCGAAGATTTATCGCAAGTTGCGGCGGAACCTGACAAGGCGTGCGCGCTCCTGCTCAGCGCGCCGCTTCTCCGCCTCTACAGTGAGTCCAAACCCCAAACGAGCCGTGACTTGTTGAAGCTTCATGGGGCTGGACGGAGTTCGCATTTGGGGCTCAAAGTCTTGGAGAAGTTGAAGTGTGGAGTTGTGGTTACCAGCGGACCTGTGCCCAAGAGGCTTGCTCGCAAGAATCTTGAGGGGCTGCTTCTGTCAGGTAGGTAGCTTTCGCACTCCTATTGAGACTGCCGAACTGCTTCGTACTCCAAACCTTCAAAACGACGCAGTGATACTTTTCTCGCGAGTATCTTTACCAGCGATTCACCAATTCACAGTCAGGGCGCTGGTGCTCTGAATTATGAATTCAGTCAAAGCAACCCAATCACAAAGGGCATGAGTCAAGCTATTCCACAGAATGCCTCCGCCCGCCGCAGCTGCTCAACCTAAAAGTCAACGGTGATATGAGGGCTCTTTAGTGTTTTGAGCGATCGCATTTGAACACCAGGAGGCTCCAAGCCATAAACACGCCCCAACCCTAAACGCACTTCTACAAACTTCACATCCAGACCTAAAACTTAGAATTAGAACAAACGCAAGACAATGACAAAATACCATCTCCCCTGACTAACTCACGAAGAGAAAGGCGGAAAACAGGCTTCATCAGATCCGAATTCGACAAATGCCAGCCCAGTTGCGTGCGGGGTCGATCCCCCAACGCCTGTGAAGTGAAGGCCTCGCTGCTCCATGGCCACCTGCACACAAGGCTGGTCTTGGAATCGAGCTCAGCACAGGGTGCTCTGGCAGAGGGTCAGTGCTAGAGGATGCAAGCCTTGAACCGAGCAAGGTCCGATTCAGCGTGGGAGATCCGAGAAAGTCACTACGGCACGATGGCGAGTGCTTGGAGATCTCCGAATAGGACTTGGAACAACACTTGGCGACCGCGTTAAACTCATGAAGCTGGCACTTTCTGCTATCTCTACAGGGATGGTCGTGGGTTCAGGGTTCTTCCGCCTGTTCCTGCTCCAAGTCAATGCCTCGGCACGATGCCACGATGCACCCGGGTCTTTGAATGCATAGTCGAGCTTATACTTGCTTGGGATTAAAAGGCGTGGTCGCTTGAAGTGATACAAATCAGCGACAGAAACGGGCGCAACGAACAGCTATCCCCAAGTGCGTGCTACAATGAACATGAGAACCATTTCGCTTGAAACCAGGTTCCAAAGCTACCCCAAGAATGCCCCATGCAGATGCTGGACACTCGACGAGGGTCTGCGATAAATGCGTATTTAGAGTGCCCGCTAGAGTGCCCGCTGTGAAACAAACGCCAGGTTAATCCATCGTGTCGTTGACCAGCTCAGTAAA